CCCAGACAGGACTAACATATCCAGAGCTATTTCGCATCTCCCTGGAAAAAGGTCCAAGTAGTAAGTCATTCTCTCACTTCACACTATCTAGGGCAGGAAACAAAGAACATTGTTCAGTACACTTGAAAGATGAAAAATGGAACTTCTAAAAGCAGAAATGGACTCAAGAAGGATGTGATAGAATTACCAGTCCCTACTACCAGTCCACTATTCTCTCACTCAGACTCCCCTTCGGTCATTCTGAATAAATTTTTTTAATATTATATAGGTGGAAATCCAACCAGATTAGATGGTCTCTGCAGACCAGGACTCATCCGTCAACAGGGAGGCTCATTTAGGCAGAATATAGTTTAAGAGAAGGGTTCCCCTCTCTACTTCCCTAAACTATTCTGTTCAACTGCCCAAGGGAAGAAAGTACCCGGAGTTCAAGGGCTTTAAGAGGCAGGGGAGATCACAACCCATTAATATATTTGTTGCCCCTCTTCTAGATCCAGGTATTACCTCATGTCCCAGTGCCTCTCATTCTGACTTCACAGGCCTGACAGTTAAGTTGGCATGCAGCAAGGACATGAAATGTGTCCTCGCAGGGCACTCGTAAAACCCAACCTTGTTTAGGAAGCTACTCACAGATTTTCCTGTAGCTTGGTTGAGTCCTGCTTAGTTCCTAGTTGGCTCATCAAATTCTTTATCTGAGCAGCTGGGGAGAGTGGGGGAAAAAGATTTGTTTAAAAGAAAAATACATTTCATCATGAGCACCCAAATTCTCAGATCACTCGTGTCTCTCCACATCTTGAATAGGTACATGCAACTAATAGAAAACTTGCTATGATCAAAACCTTGGCATATAGTATACATTCCCTTTAAAACGAATTCTGAGGTTTGCCTTTCTCCTATAGAGTAACTGTGTCACTAAGTGGAGGGTGTACTTTTTATTACTCCCAAAGAACTGAATTTTTCCAGATTTCTCATAGCACTGGATAAAAATTTCTTCACCTTTAGAAGGGTCTTAATACCAAACATCAATTCACAACAATAAAAATTTAAATCCACTAGTACACAATTTTTCTCTAGCAAACATTTTTGAAAAAACAATGTACATTTATTATTAGTAACAAGTTACCACTGACTGAGCCCCTCTATATGTCTGGCACTATATTAGGGGCTTTGTATACATTATCTCACTAATTTTCAGAGCATCAATCGGAAGTAGCTATATAGTCATTTTAGAGGTGAGGAAATATATTTAAAGAAGTATCTTACATAAGAGTATGTAATAGAGTGAAATGCTACTTCCTCTGACTCTATTTTAACTGAAGCCTGTATTTTTCCCATGGCCCTCAGGCTAATAGCTCCTGTTATAGATGTGCTAATTATCAGAGGAAATTCTGCTTGAGGCTTGAGTTTTTGGAGGAACAGTCCCTTGCCAAAAGGCGTCTCTCCCAAAGAGGTAGAAAAATATATACAAAATAACGACTGTTTATCAAAGATGTGCAGGAGCCTCAAGACCAAACTCAGATCAGCAGGGACAATGGACCAGGAAGAAAGAGGACCCCTACTGGCACCCAGATGTTTATAGAGTTGTCAGTCACCTCTTGCCCCTCTCATTCTCTCTTCCCCTGACATAAAAGAAGCCTGAATTCTGGACTCACTTAAAGTTGATCTGAGGAAACTCTAAGGCCCCCCTCTTCTCGATTGGGCACCTTCTCAATCAATAAATCTTTCCTTACTCCAAACTCTGACGTTTTTGAATATTGGCCTTTTGAAGCATCAGGCACATGAACTTTTGGATCAGTAACAGGTATACAATAAGTAGCAGGGCAAAATATTCCATCTCAGGTACATACATACCCCTGTTCTTTCAACTGTGTTGTCTATAGTCATATACATGGTTTTGTTAGGTAACTCTCTACCTTTTCCTGGATATTTTGCTAAGACTAGGAATGATCTTGTTTGACTCCTGGATGTTTAAGCCCCTAGCCCTGGATTGGGAAGGCAGAGATCCAGGGGAATCGGTTATGTAACAATAAGGAGGAAGACTCTAACACCAGCCTGGCCAGGAATCTAATACCCCACCCTGTCCGTCACTGATTTCTGCAACAGGAATAGAACCCTTGATTTCTTCTGTGTTCTGCTTTCTATTTTATTTTTCTGGTTGGCCAGGAAGGTGAGGAAGAGTTATTCATTCATTCATTCTTTCATTCATTCACTCATCATTCATTTGTAGAGGTTGGAATTTCGTTGTAGGATTCCTTCCTTCACTTGTATGGTTTTTTGAGAGCATTCACCGTCTTCTCTTACAAGCAGCTGGAGACTAGAACACAATAATAGAGTACTCTTTGCCCAGAGGAAACATGACTATCTTTAAGTTTCACTAGAACTTCAAGAGATAATATAACACAATAGGTATATGGTGCCTTCAGCCAAAATACAGTCTCCTTCATGAGGGCATTTCCTATCCTCTCAGGATTAATGAGCAAAGTTTCACTTGTGAAAGACCAGACCCCTGAATACCTAGTTTAGGGGTAGATGAGGAAGTCAATGTATACTATATCATTTGTATATAATATAGGGGTAATACATATACAATGTTTCCATATCCAATGAGAAAGAAACCTCACTTATTAGAATTTGGCTTCTAAAAATTAATTGTTCCTTATGATAGAATGTTCCTTAACATAAAATTTTGGAGTCACAGTTACAATTTGGTCTCCAAGAGTAGTAAAAAGGCAAGCTAAGGTTTATTAAGTACCATTTATCTTATAAAAATACTAATGTGTTAATAGCCTCTAAGTCTGATAAGAACAATTATTAAGCAAAATTTTCTAATTGGTTACTCTACTCCTAAGTAGAAACTAAACAACATAGTCCTTAGCAGTATATACAAGTTATTTCTCCCTAGCCAAAAACATCATTATATCATGAATGTTACAAAGCAAAATTTCCAAAGTCAAGACATACAGGTTTGTAGCGCTTCAAATTATGATTTTCTTATTTCGAGACCATGTTTTCCTAGCAAAAATGTTATTCTGATTTTATAATGGAAATACAGAATTTGCTTGATTAAAATTTTGCCTTTTGTAGATGCCTGACCACTGCAGTGTACACCTGAAGCTGAATAATGAATGTCAACTATTGGGTCGTTGGAAAAGTCATAACTCATTTTTGCTAGGAAAACATAGAAAAAATACGTCATGACTTTTCCGACAACCCAATATAATTTAATACAAATATAATCATAGGATGTGGAGTACAGCATAGTGAATAGAGTCATTGGAATTGTAACAGCTATATATGATGTTAGAGGGATACTAGATTGGGAGAGGGGTTATCACTTTGTGAGGCGTGTAAATGTCTAGCTATTACATTGTTTTATACACCTGAAACTAAAAAAAAAGGAAAAAAATTTTGCCTTTTGACAAACTTCCCTATAGTGTAACTACTATAATTACTGCATTCTGCTAAGATAGAATGATATAAGATATAACCATTTTTCATTACTAACATGTGAGATTTTTCTTTTTATCTAAGTCAAATAGGAATCAGGATATCACCAAAGCTATCAACTGGCTAGCCATACAAATAATTTATGGAAGATGACATTAGCATTTACTGAGCATTTGCTAAGTGCCACTGAGCTATATACTTTATGTAGTATAATAAAAAATATATATTTGGTCTAAGTCCCCGGTTTCTGGCACAATGTTCCTAAAACCCTTGGGGTTTCCTGAGTGATAGGAGTGTCTTGTTATTCCTAAAAGAGCACCTTTAGAGCACGAGGAGTTTATGCTAATGAGGTGACTCAGGGTGGGATTCCTAGATAGCCTTAGGTTGGGTGGGGCTGATCACCAGAGTGACCAAGTGATTAGAAGGCTGAAAGTTTCAGCCCCACCCACCAACCTCAAGGAAGTGGAATGGTGGGGTGGAGGGGTGCAGCTTAAGCTCTATAAAACTCTTATTAAACTAGATAGATGAGCTTCTGGTTGGTGGAAATACAGGATGTCTTGAGCCCAGAGGTGGCAAGACAGCCCCTTATTACTTACCTTTCCTTAGGCACATCTTCTTCCATCTGGCTATTCCTGAATTATACCCTTTTATAATAAACCTAGTAAGTTAATGTTTTCCTGAGTTCTGTAGGCAGCTCTAGCTCAAACCTGAGGTTATGGAAACCTCGGATTCTGACTTACAACTGGTATGGGGCATAAGGTGGGCAGAGTGAGGAGTGGGGCAGCAGTCTTGTAGGAGGAAGCCCTGAACCTGTGGAATCTAATGCTAACTCCAGGTAGACAGTGTCAGAATTGAGTTGAATTGTAAGACATCAGAGAATCTGATTATTGCTCAGTATTTGGAAAACCCACACATCTAATGGCAGAAATATTGAGACTACAGGAAACACGGGAGGAGGGTTTTTCCTTTACACTAGATAAGCATGATCTTCTCTGATCCCAACAATCCTTTAAATAAGCATTACTATCCCAGTGTTACAGATGGGCACACTGAGGCTAATGAGTGTAGACCAAAATTAATTTTAGACTGTAATAGGAATAAAAGCATTTATTTGAGCAAAAGGAGCTGAAATCCAGGACACATAAATTCAGGAAGCAAGCTAAATTTGCTCCCACAAGACAAAGGAGAAGTCACCTTTTATAGAGAATTTTCCTGCCCACAGTTCCCATGTTGGCTCCTTTCATGTAAATGAGGTTTCCAAAACTGTACAGTTCTGATTGGTCTAAATCATACAGTTCTGACTGGTCAGTACAGATGCAAATGAGGAGATTATTTTCTGGCTTCCCTGCAGTGGTTGACTCAAGTCAGTGTAAACAAGGCGGCATTGAGCAGGAAGCCCAGAGTTCAGTATGAGATTCTTCCCAGTATACCGAGCACTGAGAAGCCCATTGTCAGCAAATGGCCACTAGACTATTAATCATAAAATTTGGGCCCTCAGTTGACCATGGGGAGTTTATCTCAGCAGATAAATTCCTTCTCAGGGTTCACATCAAATGACCTTTTCTTCGTGGAGTCCACGAGTTACAGAACTCATTCATTCTTTCATTCATTCATTCATTCATTCATTCATTCACAGTACCTACTCTACCCTGTTCTATGCTATGGGAGACATTTGCTCTCAAGAAGCTTACATTTTTAAGGAAGAGCTAGATAATATCAAGTAGTGCTAAGTACTATAAAGAAAAATATTTTCAGGCAAGGGCTGGAATGACAGGGAGTGGGGAGAGGGTACTAGTTTATACAGGGTGGACAGAGAAGACTTCTGACAAGGTGACACTGAGCAGAGATCTTAGAGGAAGTGAAAGATCCAGCCTTGCAAATATCTGGAGGAGAAGCTTTCTAGCAGAGAGAGTATTGAGTACAAAGTCCCCAAGGCAAGAGTGCTTGGTGTGATAGAGGAAGAGACAGGAAGCCAGGATGACTAGAGTTGGGAGAGCTGAGAAGTGGCCAAAGTAGAAGGGAGTCAGACGGTATAGAGCCTTGTTAACTAGTGTAATGCCTTTGATTTTAATGAAACAGGAAGTCACTGACGGGTTTTGAGCTGAGTATTGAGTGTCTTTATAACCAGAATTCAAACCCAGGGCTAATTCCAAAGACTATTCTTTATGCCACATTATGTTCTCTCAAAAGGCTGACGCTTACAGGAAACAGAATGTAGTGACACAGGCACACTTCAATTTCCCAGTGTTCCAC